CCGGAAAGCACGCCCCTCCCCCCAGGACAGCACGTCCTCTCCCCGGACAGCATGTCCCGCTCCCTGAATGTGCCTCCCGTGGCTCAGAGAGAAGCGTCCTCCGCACAGAGCTGGGCTCTGCCTGAGGAAGAGGTGGCCGTGTCGCCACCTTGGCCCAGGCTGTGCCTGCACCTGCCTTATGGGTGACCCTGTGGTTCTATGGGGAAGTCTCACAGGACAAATTAGACGTTTCCTGATTAAACTGCTCCCATTTTTATCAGTTTCTTGACGTCTGGGCGGGGGCGGGGAAGGACAGCGGCCGATTCTGCCCCATCTACTGATGGTTCACTCACTCACGGTGAATCCGATGTGTTGTCAGACGCGACTTGAATACACATTGAAGGCACGGGCAGAGGCAGCTCCCTGTCACTGAGCGCTGACACCCAGGACATCGGTGCTTAGGAATGTCCTGGGTCCCAGAGAGCAAAGTCCCGAGAAACGCAGAACCAGCCGTTTCTGCGCACGGGGGTGCCGTGTGGGTTCACTACAGTGAAACGGGGATGGCCGAGGAGTCGGAGGCCTTGGTCCTGTTGCCCCAGCTGTCTGTGCGATGCTGGTGACAAACGCGCTCACGTGCCCCCCCTCCCCCTCCCCCCGATACGTCCTCCCCTGGGGCCTCCTTGCCAGCTGCTCCGGTGGTGACGGCCGTCCGTCCGTCCGTCCATCCATCCATCCATCCGTCCGTCCGTCCAGAGAGTGTCATCTTCAACAGCTCCTCCGTGCGCAGGCGCTCTGGCGCAGACGCACCCCCGCTGCCGCCCCGCGTGGCCTACACCATCCGGACCAGCCTGCTGTACAGCATGCGGACCGACCAGGCCGAGAACCCGTTCTGGAAGTTCCACCCCCAGAACCTGCCGGCCGACGGCTTCAAGTACAACTACGTCTTCGCCCCACTGCAAGACATGCTGGAGCGGGCCCTCGTCCGCGTGCAGACCGGGCAGGAGGCCGTGGGGCCCGCCGCGGGATTGCTTGAACATCCCTAACACACACTTTCTACATTCCCTGCCACAGCAGCGACCTGTGAGTCCTGGTCCCTCCCCGGGCCCCTCAGTGGGAGGCCGGAGTGAGGCACCTCCTGGGCTTTGTGTAGTCACCTCAGCATCAGGAGGCCGCCAGGAGCGCTCAGTGTCTTAGGCGCACTTCTTGGCCCGAGCCGTGGCGGGAAGGACAGCCTTGGTGGGGAGGACAGACGTGGCGGGGAGGAGGAACCGTGGTGGGAAGGACAGCCGTGGCGGGAAGGACAGCCGTGGTGGGAAGGACAGCCGTGGCGAGGAG